AGAGGACAGAAGAATTATTCATGCCTTTGAATTGTGGTGTGGTGAAGAGTGTGGAATATCCATGGACTGCCAAAAATCAAACAGGTGTATTTTGGAAAAGTGTAGCCAGAATCCTCCTTGGAAGCAAAAAGAGTGACGCTTCATCGTTCCTGCAGCCAGGCAAGGCTACTTCTCGGAAAAGGACATGATGTTTGGAAAGATGGAGTGTCAGCCAAGGAGAGGACGACTGAGATAGATTGACATGGTCACTTCAGCTATGGGCTCGAGTGTGTCAGAGATGGTGAGGACGACATGGGACAGGGCACGGTTCAGGTTTGCCCTTCACAGGGTCGTTATGAGTGGGATTCAACTTGATGGTGCCTAACCTCCACCACACACCGTTGTGGGTTAGTATCACAAAGCTTAGTGCAATACTATTTTTCACATTCCTTCATTATCCCAGTGAAGGTCTGACTGCACACACATCAGATTATTAGTGTAGAAATATATTTAAAATGTCAATTTTATTATAAATTATTTTTGTTGTTACATTACAACCAAAATTGATGTTTGCTCTGGGACACAGCATGAAAACGCCCTGTGTAGGACTCCACAGAGTCCAATGTAGACGCATCCCAAGGTACTTTGTGTGACTGTGGTAACTTTGAGCTAACCACTCTATCTAGTCTTGAAACTAGATTTCAAGGAAACAAGTTAACAAAAATCTTGAAATGGCTAAAATAATCTTGAAAAAAGAACAAACATTCTTTCCTAAATAACTCTTTCAAATTATTGCATTTTATAGCAAAGCTTTAGGTCCTTCTTGTTGTGATGGTTGAATTTAATAAGATATATATCCAAGTTGTGCTTCACTGAGGGAGTTCTGGCAGCCTAGTGGGTAAGGAGTTGTGCTGTCAAACCAAATGTAGGCAGTTCAAACTCAGTAGTTGGTCCATGATAGAAAAGTGGTAAAATCTCCTGTGAGATTTAGTCTCTGAAATATTATTGGAGGGTCAGCTATAAATTGTTCTGACTTCATGCCACATAACAAAACTGGCTTCCCTAAACATCACGTGAATGGAGATGATAAATTCTTAAACTTTAGGACACAGATTGCTAAGAGACTATTCCTTGGAGAGAGACGTGATGCTGGGAAGGGTGGAGGGTCGGTGGTAAAGAAGAAGACAGATTGTCACAGTGACCGCAGCAATGAGGTCAAGTGTGTCAGAAATTCAGAGGATGATACAGACTAGGACAGGTTTCGAATCTGTTGTTTTTGGGTCGCTGTCTTACTCAATTCGAAAGCTGTAACCTTAACTAAGAAAGGGTACCTAAATGCCAACTAGAAATCTTGCTAAAGATGCTATTTTTAGATCTCCCATAAATTCCTAGTTTGAAAAAGATTGCTTGAATTGCTAATTGAATGGAGAACATGTCATCTGATCCAACACTTGCCCATTTCCTTCTAGATTTCTGTTGTTGTGCGTCATTGAGTTGACTGGTGACTCCATGAACAGCAGACATGCCCTCTCTGTACTGTCCTCTGAGGCTCAGACATGCTCTCATCCATTGCTGTTGTCACTGGGATAGTCCATTTTCTGAACTGTCTCTTTAATCTCATACTCTGATTTTTTACCTATGTAGTGTTTCCTTGCTGTTTGGACAACTGCTTCTTGGACTATGTGTAGGTTTTACATGAGCAAAATTAAGTGTTCTTTGATTTCAGAGTTAGTGTCATATAAGATGAGCTCTGGTGGCTTAGAGGCAAGGAGCTATTCTGTCAACCAACAGGGCTTGAATTCACCAGCTGCACTCACTGAGTTCATCCTGCATGACTTCTGCTCCGAAAGACCTACTGGAGGGTCGGCTCTAAGTTGATTCTATCTCCACACACATGTCATGTAGAGATTCTCTTCACTTCCCCTCAGACACCCAGTCTCTGGGTTATGTGTTTGGATTCCACGAGTCTGTTTATCAGGAACAGTAAGAGAACCATCTAACCCTGAACTAAAAGCAGTGATTCCAGCCCATGTCTGAGTGAATGGCTGGTAATGAAGGAAGCATTGGAGATGACGATATGGAATGGAGTCCTTGGGGAAAGAGGAGGAAACAGAGAGAGGAGGTAGGCTTGAGTTGGATGGAACTTCTGACACTTGCATGACTCTGTCCAAGTTTCTCAATCATTTTGTCTTTAGTAACTATATCTGATGTGAGGTAATAATAAATACCTCCGCTGACTGACTGAATGCAAGATTCTAAAGTTTAGCCAAGAATGTCTCTCTCAAGATTCATTTTGACTCTTAGGTCAACTATTTCACTGTAACTGCAAGGTGTAGGGGTGTGTGTAGGGGTGTGTGTGTGTGTGTGTGTGTGTGTGTGTGTGTGTGTAGGTGTTCATGTGACATAGACAAAGCTGACTCTCTGGTAGGTTTTCAGAGACATTTAATTGCACGGAAGAGACTGCCCACTCTTCTCCCACAGAGCAGCTGGATATATACATATATACCTTACTACTAACATCCAAATTTCATTTCTGAACTTTTGACACATTTTAATAGGTTGATAATCTGTGATTCTTTATGTCTGGGTACCATTGTATATATAAAGGTTTGTGAGAAGATGAGGGCATGCAGATGTCTCAACAACTTCCCCATAAGAAAACTGGGCTCTATGGGGCAGAAGAACAAATGGTGTGAATTTGGAAGAACCCTGAGGTAATTAGAATGTGGCAGTAATATTACTGATTAAGGGGTTTGTGGAAGACAATAACATAGCTTCTCTAGAATTGTTGAACATCTGTTTTCATTATAATTGTGTCTCTTCATATAAGCTCTTAAATGGACTAATAAAAACATGTTAGTTCATAGTTAAACTGCAGTTTTGAAATACTAAGCAACTTAGAAGTGAAGAATATAGACTGGACATTTTTCTGTTTCCAAGATGATTTGTGTAGGTATGCTATCATTAAATAGAAATGAAAAGGAGGAAAACATTACCTTTTCTCAGCGTTATTACAGGCTGAAGGAATGCACTTGTTGGAAATTTTCCTTCTAAGTGTTCTACTACCAAACTGATAGTTTAGCTTTGATTTAAATTCATCTCCCAGTGAAGTAGTGAATGAACATGTTGAAATGTGATTAAATATTTAAGATCCTTTGGTATAAGGCATCCTATTCTTTGGTTCCTCATGTGTCTATTTCTAGTTCTTTTCTGTTGTTGACCTTAGCTGACCAAGATAGGCTTTCATGCTAAGGCATCCAGGTCCTGGTCTGTGGAGGGTTTTCCTACAGACAATACTCAATATAAAAAAACCAATAAAATAACAACCAACAGCTTGAAGTGCAATTTCTCATATAAAAATATATGTGTATAGACAATTCAGATGAAAAGGGATTTGTGCTTGAATTATCTAGTTAATTGCCACAATTTTCTCCTTTGCTTTGAGCATATATACATCACTATGGGAGGATTACTGACCTTTATAAATCAATTAATCAATACTGCTTATTTCCCCTCAACTACAGCTTTTCTTTAAACTCAAGTTAGTTTGAAGCTCGTGTGTAGGCGTGGGGACTTTCTGTAGTGCTGCTCTGACTGGATGTTTTGAGCAAGTGTGCGTGAATGTTTTATAAGGCAGAGAACGTTCTTAGGAAATATTCTACAAGCAGGTTTCCTAAAAAGAATTGTCTTCTCCAACATTTCAACATTTTTTAAATTAAATTCTAAAGTTCAGGGAAAAGTTTAACTGTTACCTACCAGACAGAAGTTTGAGATTTCAGAGAATAGTGATCATTAGACTATTTAACAATAGTGTCAATATGAAAAGCTTAATTTTTTTTTCACATGAGAGTATAACTGAAGTATGGAAAAGACATGCTTATAGTTACAATGATTTTTCTGCTTTCCTTTAGAAGAATGAATATTTTCTACTTTTCGTTTTGGTCAACATTTAGGTTAAAGGAGGGAAAGTATATTAAAAAATGGCTTCTTAAAATTAAAAGCTTTCCCTCCATCAAAATAACTATTTCTTTCATAGGAAGGCCTTGTTGAAAGTGGTAGATAGAGCACTTTGATGCTTTTTAAGATATTTTGAGATTTCAAAGGGAAAGTTTGCTACTTTTGTATGGAAATTATACATTATTCTGTGAAAGCACGGTATAGCTCGAGGTTTCAGATAAGATACATGAAGGAAAAGCAAAGTGAGCTGCTTTCATTTCAGGGTAACCTCTGTTTCACTGGTTCCAACAGAAATAACAGGGAGGAAAAAAAGAAAGAAGGATTTTCTCCCTCGAAAGGAATACATCACTTCTGAAATTCTCACAAAATCAACTGAGGCAAATTAGAGATTTCAAAGCTAGTCACCTTGTAAGTTGTTAGGAAAAAGATTTGCATTTAAATTGCTCTGTGCAGCTAACTAGAGACTTTCCCCTGGAATGTTTATGGCTCTTTTTTACCCCTATTAATATTTTAAAAATACGATTTCATAACCAGTGTATTACTACATCTAGCTGTGTTATGAGCAGGCACTTCATTTCACAAAGTAGAAACATTCAAAGTAGCTTTGGCTAACCAATTACTTGGTCAGAATACTTGAATTCTTCATATTGAACATTTACTAGTGAAGTTAATCTGAAATGATATCCACTCTCGATGTGTATTTCAGAAACTAGGTCACTGATAGCTCCTACGTAGGGAATACACTTCATTCCTGTGTTTTATCCATAGGAATAAATACTTCTTAGAACTTCTTGTGACCTTTTCCTCCCTCATATATATGATTTCATAGCTAAATCAATAGTATTAATTCCATACCATGCTTTTACATATTCAGAAATATAGATGTAAGAGAAATATTAAATGTGCAAAATCTCTATATGTACATTACAAAAGACCAGGCATCAGAACTGTCAAGGAAGCTGCTGGGGAGGGGGGGAAAAGTCTTCAATGTCAGAAATTCTGGTCAGATTGGAGCTTTTTCTTGTGGAATTGTAAACAAACTTTTTAAAATGCTGAGCATTTTCTCAGTCCTTTCCAGCCAAGACACTCTCAAACACCTCAAGTCCTGCTTTGAAGTAAACCTGGGCTGAATTAATGCTGTTCAGCACCACGGACAGGACTTCTTGAAGGGCCTCATGTGAGGGGAGTGATTTGCTGTTCTCCCACGCTTCCAGCAGAATGGAAAACTGGCTTGTCTTCTCATCTAGATGGTACAAGATGTTTCTGTAAAAGAAACATGGCATGTGTCGAGGTTTCACGTACAATGCAATTTTCATATCAAATATAATTAATATTTCCAAGAAACAGTAATGAAGACATAGTAAAATAACATCCTTTTCCAACCCTTAGTGAACAGACAAAGATACTGACTAACAAAAGTCTGTATCTTGATGAAAGAAGGAAATAATCACATGCTTCCTAGTAAAAGTACACAACCTTGCCTATGAAGTAGACTAGTTTGGCTGGAGGGAAAATGTTCTTAAAAACCTGTCTTTTATTGTGAATCAGAAAACCCAGCAGTTCAAATCCACCAGCCGCTCTATGGAGCAAAAATGGGCTGTCTCATCCTGTAAAGATTTGCAACCTTGGAAACTGATACTGCATTGCTATGAGTGGAAATTTCCTAGGTGATAGTGTTTAAGTAGTATTAATATATACAGAACAAAACAAATATATTAAAAGACAGCCCAGTGTATCAGAGCAAAATGTAGACTGTGGTATGGGGAAAAGACTCAATTTATTTAACAACTATACGCTAAGTTAAAAAAAAAAAGCAGTTAAGGCATAATCCCTAGACCAGGATATCTCAATCTGTATTCTATTAATATTTAAAGATAACTCAACTCATTGCCATTGAGTCAGAATTGTCCCACAGTTGACCTTCCAGCAAGTACAGCTTTAAATATAAATTATATCTCAACAACAACAAAAAAAACCCAACAAAACCATCCTCACTACTGGCCAATAGGTAACATCACGACAGAGGAGAAAATATTGAGCTGTCAATGAGTTCATCTTACTTGAATCTCCAGTACTAGTAGTCAAAAATTCAAAAGACAAGTTGCACTGGGAAAATCTGCTGTCAGGGACATCTCAAGAGTACTAAAGGGTACCAGTGTCACTTTAAAGATTAAATAAAGTGCACCTGATCCAAACCATGATCTTTTCAAATGTTTGAATTGAATATATGGATCTGGAAGTTGGACAATGATTAAGATGACAGAAGAAGAATCAATGGCTTTGAGTTGTGTTGTTGGAGTACCGAATATCCCATGACCTTTCAAAAGAACAAACAGCTAGGTCTTGGACAGAGTGCCCCTTAGGAGAAAGGATGGCGAAGCCATAGCTCACACAGATTGGGCACGTTGCTAGGAGAGTTTATTCCTTGGAAGGTGACATTGAACTTGGAGAGGTAGAGGGTCAGTGAAGAGTGAAGAGGAAGACCTTAGCAAGATAGAATGATACAATGACTGTGGCAACGGGCTCGTGTGTGTTGGAAACAGTGAAGATGGCTCACGATCGGGCAAGGCTCAGAGCTGTTATTCATAGGGCTGCCATGATTTGTGGTCAAGTCTATGGTCCATAAGAACAATCATAAATCAGATAGGGGAGTGCCAATCTTTCTCCTACAGAACAGTTGATGGATCCAAACCAGCTGCATTTTCGTTGGGAGCACAACTCTTTACCCACTAGGTCACCAGAGCGCCTAGGGTAATCTCTGTTGGAGTGGATTTTATTGCCTGCTGGTTTTCTCTACGTGCCAACAACACCCTTCCTTTCGTTTTGAGAACTAAAAATGTTTTCCAACACTGACCAAATAAAGTTCCTTTTAGAACACAATTGTCTAGACCAAGGAAATTTAATAATTAGTTGCAAATTATCTACTTGGCTAGACATTCATTTACTCATATAAACTAAAGGTGAAAAGCAATTAAAAGTACTATAAAGTCATATAGTAATTAAATATTTAATGATACTAAACCCAGTATTTTTAGGTGATAATGGCATCACAGCACATTTTGTGAAAATGAGCTTATCTTCTAGAAGAAAATACTACAATAGTTAGAGGAGATAGTAAATCTAGGATTTGATTCAAAATAATAAAATAAAGGAGCTAGAGAGAAAAAAGTTTGACCATTATTAACATTTTTTTTAAATTTGGCATGGAATCCACTTCACTACTCTTTATCTTTTGTATATGTCAAACATTTAGAGAAGTGTCTTCTCTAAAGGGTGAGTATAATAGGATGGTGCCTTGTACATCAGCCAAAATGCTCAAAAAGAAGAATTTGGTCCTGAACAAGTCTAAAACAGTGCCCTTTATTCACTCACAAAAGAGTGATTCATTCTCATGACAAAGCTGAGATTATTGCACTTGACATTTTCCAAATTCAAAATTGCTGAAATAGCTAAAATTCCATAATTTTATATTTGAGATATGTAAATAACTGAAATTCAATTGCTCAGTTATCATAGTAAGAATGTAAGTATCTAGTGAGAGCAGAAGAAGGGTTAGTGTTAAGAGAGGAAACAAAAGGGTTTATAATGGTGAATATTTATATTGCCCCTTGAAAAATAAGGATTTGAACGTACAAAAATTACAGAAGTTCAGTGAAGGAAATAAGCTATAAAAAGATGACTTTGTTTTTTTTATTTGTTCTCCATGGAATCAAACAGGTATTTCTGGAGAATCAAAAATGTTCAAGCAGAATGGGCAAGTGTAAGGGAACAGACAATGAAATATGTTGCCTCCATATAAAATGTAAAGAAATGTTTTCTCTTATGGAAATAGGAAGACAGTGAAATATTTTAAGAGAGAAATTGTTTAGATGTTTATTTAAAAAAAGGTGTAGATAACACCCAGAGAACAGATGACCATTTGAGTCAAATGACATGTGACAATGAGAGTGGATTTTTAAAGTGTGGAGTGTATATAGGAAATGAAGAGAGGGAAAGAATGACATCCATAAAGTAAGTTGATTTCTACGTTTCTCTAGAGTTATAGGGTTGCTATGAGTCATAGTTGACTTGCTGGTACCTAACAACACTATTACCTTCGATTTGTTTAACATTCTTGGTCATTGATCCTTTAACATGAATATCCCCCTACTCTAGCCTCGCTTGAATTCACTGTCATAGATGTTTATTATTTGTACTTTGTAGGTTCCCTGGTGGCTCATGATTCATGCTTGACTGCTAACCTATGTTAGCTTTTGCTGCATTTTAATACACCCAGTGATGACATGAAAGAAATGTCTGGTCTTCTGCTTTCAGAAAGACTGCAGCCAAAGAAACTTTATGAAGCCATTCTCTAAATACATAGGGTTGCTAGGAGTTGAAATTTACTTAATGACTATCTTACTGGTTAATGTTAATGGCACTATATGCACTCATACTTAACTCTGCAAGGCATCTTCACACTTCTTCACAAACTTCCAATTGGTCTTACATATATTCACTTCTCTATCTTTTTAGTGTCTTTTCTTCTTCCCTGTGGTGCTCTAATCCTTGTATGATTTAAGGACATATATGGTCTAGTGGTAAGAAGCAGCTCTGCAATCCCGAAGGCATGCAGGTTGAATCCACCAGCTGTTCTGAGGGAGAAGGATGGGCAATCTCCTCTTGAGCCTCTCAAAACCCGCTTGAGGGTCAGCTGTGGATCAAACTTAATGTTATACAACAATAACAACAACATGATCTCATTGCTTAATATTCCAGGAGACAGAACTATGCTCTTTATTGGGTATAATTCAATGCTGTAAACAGAAAGCCTTCAATCATGATGATTTAAATTACTTAAAATTTTATCAGGTTTAAGTCAATGTTGGAAAAATTCAAACTTCCAAAATTCCAAATTTCCAAAATTCAATTCAGATTTTTTTTCATCTTAACCCGACAAACAAGAAAATCATTTGGTAAGTTAATGGTCTTGAGCACCAATGAGCATAGACAAAATGAGTTCTGGGAGGATATGAAGAAAATCGTCCATGAAGAATGCAAAAGATCATTAAAAAGGCTAAAGAAGAAGAAAATACCAAGATGGATGTCAGATGAGACTCTGAGTATTGCATTAGAGCGCCAAGAAGCCAAAGCTAAAGGAAGAAATCAAGAAATCAGAGAGCTGAATAGAAAATGTCAAAAGGTAGCTCGGGACCACAAAGCAAGATACTATAATGAAATGTGCAGAGAGCTGGAGTCAGAAAATCAAAAGGGCCGGATTCACTCAGGGTTTCTTAAGCTGAAGGAGTTGAAAAACAAATTCAAGCCACGGGTGGCAATACTTAAGGATAGTTTGGGTAGAATGTTGAATGATCCAGGATGTATAAAAAAGAAGATGGAAGGAGTACACAGAGTCACTGTATCAGAAGGAATTGGCTGACACAGAGGAACTTCCTGAAATAACATATGAGCAAGAACCTATGGTGATGAAGGACGAAGTACAAGTTGCTATGAAGGAATTGGCAAAAAACAAGGCTTCTGGAGTTGACTGCATACCAATTGATTTATTTCAACAAACAGACACTGCCCTGAATGTGTTCACTAGGTGTGCCAGGAAATCTGGAGGACAGCCAGCTAGCCAACTGACTGGAAGAGATCGATATTTGTTTCCATTCCAAAAAGGCGACCCAACAGAGTGTGGAAACTATCGAACAATATCATTGATATCACATGCAAGCAAGATTCTGCTGAAAATTTTCCAAAAACGTTTGGAACAATATGTCAACAGAGAACTGACAGACGTGCATTTAGAAGAGGTCGTGGTACTAGGGATATTATAGCTAATGTAAGATGGATCTTGGAAGAAAACAAAGAATACCAGAAGAATGTCTATCTGTGCTTCATTGATTATGCAAAGGCTTTTGACTGTGTGGATCACAACAAGCTGTGGCTGACTCTGAAAAGAATGTGAATCCCAGAACATTTGATTGTACTAATACAAAACCTATACTTAGACCAAAAGGCAGTCGTCAGAACAGAGTAGGGAGACACTGGATGGTTCAAAATCAAGAAAGGGGTCTGTCAGGGATGTATGTGTCTCCATACCTTTTCAATCTGTATGCAGAACAGATCATTCAAGACGCTGGCTGTAGGCTGTATGAGGAGGAATGTGGCATCAGAATTGGTGGAAGAGTCGTCAACAACCTGTGTTATGCAGATGACACAACCCTGCTCGCTGAAACTCAGGAGGACCTGAAGTGCTTGCTACAGAAGGTCAAGGATTG